GGTTACCTCAAGAACTCTCCGATGATCATCGTTTCCAACATGTGAACATTGCTTTGTCTCTTATGGCGCATGAACTATTTATGGACCGAATTGTCACCGGTGAGGAAAAACGGATTCTCTATGCAAATATTAAATGCCAAAAACAATGTCTCAGTCCTAGACAAAAACCACTTCTGATCCAAAAACCTGGACTCCATCCGCAAAAAATGATGCTTTGCATTTGGTGGGACATCAAAGGATTAATTCATTTCAAACTCCTCAATCAACAGCAAATGGTCAATGCAGAGATCTATAGTCAGCAAATGGAACGTTTAAATCAAGCCCTTCATCAGAAACGCCCTTCACTCGTCAAGCGGAAACGTTCTTCTTCTCCAAGACAATGCACGTCCACATGTGGCACGTTTGATGCAACACATGATTATGGAGTTGGGTTGGGAAGTTGTCCCCCACCCACCATATTCTCTAGATATGGCACCATCAGATTACCATCTTTTTCATTCGCTGCAACACCATCTTAATTGGAAAACGTATGCAAATGTGGAAGGTGCTAAAGAGGACATGAACATGTTTTTTGCTTCAAATCCAAATGATTTCTTTAATCAGGGCATTAACAACCTTAGTGTAACATGGAAAAGCATCATCTATAAGAATGGAGACTATTTCATTTAATAAATTTTTATGTTTTGATATACAAGTTTGTCGGGTTTTTCATCTAAAAAAAAGCGACATTAATTTCTTGACAACCAAATATTTCCTAAATAAACTTGCTGATTCATCTTCATTGTGTTTTTTAAGGTAAATTCTGTCTGTACCTACCTGCAGCTAGTAATTCAGGATCTTATATCTCACACCTTAAAGTGCTCATGCAATAACACTCATTTAACCAATGTAAAGGAAATAATAATACTAGTGGGCATAGTAGTACATAGGCATTATATTGGTGCGGCACTTAATTGGATAATGATTAATTATACTAAAAACTATCAACACATGAATTTACTATAATGAAGTTCATTTCACTAGATATTGAGGTAGCAGTCCCATAGTATTTGCCTTTTATACCTTTTTTATCATTGTTTTCATAATTATTTCCACTAATGTAAATATCATGAATAGTTTTTTTATTGTAATTATATTTATGGATATTATTTCTCATTATTGGCTTAGCATTTGGATGAAGAGCTAATCTAGATCTCCTACATTAGATGAATCTTGAATACTACTGGGATTATGGAAAAAAATACAGTTAACAGTAAGAGTACCAAATTGATGATTCAATGCAATCTAGTCTTTACAAGTTCAATGTATATGTTAAATTTATATCATAAAACTTAATAATGAAATATTTCTAAAAGATTTTCTTCTTTAATATGTATGTTACTTGTAAATAATTTTAATTCTGGTCTATAAAGTTTGATTAACATTTATAACAAGTAATTTTTCGTGACTTGACATACTCAAAATACCAGGCTCTTCATGAAAAAATATAACCAAAAAAAAATTTTTTTTGCAAAATTTCTAAAAGTATGAAAATGGAAAAACACGCAGAATATAATAATTCTTAAAGGATTTGTGGAAGTTATATAGCAAAGTAAGTTTGAAATCAAATTTTAGCACAGAAGCAAAAATTAAATATAATTATATTATTAAGTATAATTTGAAAAGTTAACAAGACCAATTTCTTACTTATATGGTAGAAGTAAAAGTTCACCTGTCAGATTAACATTTAGTTCAATTTCTTTAATAATAATGGTGAAATGACAAAGATAAAAAACTCCATGTTAACAAGATAAACTTCCCATGTTCATGGGTGTCTTAGTGATGTAACAAATAAGAAAATTCTGAACACCATAACATCAACTGTTTAACAATATGCAATGTTTAAACCTTTAATTACGAATTTATGCAGTCATTTAACCTTCTCAACAAAGTGGGTCAGTCAATTTGACCGAGTCACATGACCTTTTATACTCATTTAAATTCTTTATAAGTTTAATATATATAACTCTCAATATATTGGGTAAATATATCTTCATGAAATTTGGCAGTCTTTCAGTTTATATTACAAGTCTTTCACGTAAAAAAAGTCATCTTTCTTTGTGAAGTATTTAAAAAAATAAAATAAAGATGTGTCCATGAATATATTAAGTATTTGTTTTGAATAGTCTGTATGTAAAGTAATTTTCATGTTAAAACTAAAAATACTTTTCCTCATCTCAAATTTCCTTTGTGTAATTCCTAAAAACTCCTAAATGCATTTCAAACGTTTTTTTTTCACTAAAACTTTATAGTTTATTTGTTATTTTCTCTACCCTATCTCAAAACGGGATTTGTCAATTCGACCAACCTCATAACCACCAAAAACAATTGAAATGAACCTAAATTAAACTTTTTTCTTTCTACAATTACTTCAAATTGTAACATGAAACTACATTCGTTTATCCTAAGTAGCTCTAAGTTCGTAACAGTATACATCTATTTATAATTAAATTTTATTGTTTTATTGCCCTTTGAACTGTGTCTAACTACTATCCGTGCCATTATAAGTTGTAAATCACTGGATGAACATGCAGCTCACGTTATGCTATCGAATTACATTACCCACGATCTGCTCTCATTCGTTCCTCGTGAACCATTTTAATTATATTATTATTATTAATTTTACCTAATCTAGTTTTAAATAACTTAAAAAGATCCATATTTTTAGATTTTAGTTACTTTCATAATAATAAATAAAGAATAAATATGAAAAACAAGAAATATTATACTTACACAATCTTTTTTCTTGACCTCGATTGTCAAGGCCAGTTAAGTCTGATTTTTTAAGTACTTATAGTAATGCACTTAACAATTTTTATATAATTAGATAATGCACCAAAGAATATAGACTAATAACATGCAAAAAATAGACAAATTCACTTACCTCTAAAAATTTTCCTGGCTTCCTAACTATGCAAAAAGAGAAGTTACAAATTCATCCAAGATAGTCGTTAACTTTCCCATAGGAACGAATCTTGTACTGTGAGTGAAACTTACGATATTCTGTTCAGAATACAACTATATACAATATGTCATTTGACATATGAAAATCTTGACTTTCAATTGGTTACAAGTAATATATAATGAAACGTAAGAGAGAACTATCAACGAATCGTGAAAGAGAGGATGTGACAAGTGGGGTCTGATTTTCTATTAGATAGCTCTGTAATCAAACAAAAGTGAAAGGAATAAAAATTATGGTTTGTTTGAGCAATAACTATTTTATAGAGAGTATTTTACATATAATTGTACATTTTTGAAGGGTGATGGATAAAATAGGAATGATGACATGCTAAGACAAAATGTGTCGCATGGGTCACACTAGTGGAAATTCAGGATTTTTAAAAATATTCCCTTGTAAAAATCAAGAACTTAAAACTTGTATGCTATTAAAATATGGATTATTA